CTCAGTATTTCTGGTCCCAGAAGAAGCGAAGATGGTAGCGTTCGTTCCGGGAAAACTGGAGGTTTCGGCAATAGCGAGATCGGAAGCATGCGAGTCCTACAAGAAAAAAAAGACGTGTACCGAGTTACAAGCGTTGAGTTTCTTCAGCGCTTGCATTCCTTCTTACAAATGAAATTCCGCGCTGCAATTGACGAAACAAGAAAAGCGTTGGACCGAGAAAAGGGTGGTAATATCACTAGAGGAGCTGGAAGGGGCAAACTTGACCCACGTCATCATGATCTTGCGAGAAATGTACTTTGGAGATACAGTCCACTGATGTTGTTCTCCAGAGAAGTTGCCCCAGATGAATGGGAGAGATTTTTGTTAGATTACGAGTCTGCATGCAAACCTTTGTACCAGGACGAGTTCAGGGACGCTGTTTTTGCCTGGAAGCGGATCGCTAGGAAAGCACATGGGGATGAATCTGATATTTTGTTTACATCACAAACCGAAAAACAAACCGAAGGCCTCGCAACCACGACGGCCAGAAAACTGACAGTGAAAAGAAGTCAAACATTAGCAAAAATACGATCCCCAATTGGCGATGGCGGCAACAAAGCTAGCTCAGACAAGGCGGATGGTCGACTACCTCCAAACGAAGTATTTACGGGAGCTCTTGATGAAATGATTCCAATCATGAGCATGGAGCAAAATTTTATCGTCGAATTTTTCCATATCACATCACTAGAGCAACACGATTTTGCAGATTCCATCGCTGCTGCACCACCAGACTTGCGACGAGGTGGCGATTTGAGAATGCCAAAAGTTATGGACCCGAACCGGATCTTGGCAAAACGTGTCGTGCAAACCATGGAAGAAATTTACGCTTTCTGGGCTGGTGATATGCAAGCACTCGTAGACTGGTCCCTCCAATCTGATCCATTGTAAGTCCACTATCATTCAACTAATCAGAAAAACTAACTAACCTCTTTGAATAGGCAAGGTGTTGGAATACTCGTCTCAATTGAGCGCAAGCTTGTCGACCTCGAGGAATCAAGCCAGGAATACCTGGCACGCACACTTCAAAAACTACATGCTCGTTTACTGGGTTTATTTAACAAATTTCTCGATGAGCAAGTACGCGCCATTGAAGACACCAAAGTCAAAATAAAGAAGCGAAAGGGTGTTATTGGCTTCATAAGGATATTTCCGTCATTCTCGCTGGCAATAGAAACGATGCTAATGTCCGCCGACGGCCTCGAAGTCCGACAAATCGTAAATAATGCATATTCGCGCTTGAACAAAACCATGTTTGAGTCTCTAAAAGTCATCGCAAGAGAGAACCCAAGTGCCCAAACTGCAGGTGCAGATCCAGAGGACAAGGAGGCCCTCAACTATCAGATTTTACTCATCGAAAATATGAACCACTACCTTGAAGAAGTGGATGTTCGCTCCAATCCGATACTTGAAGAATGGCGAGAAAATGCCAGCCAAGAAATGGATGAACACATGACATTGTATCTTGGTGCTGTGATTCGTAGACCTTTAGGAAAGCTTCTCGATTTCTTAGAAAGCACCGAGAGTCTTATGCTTTCAAGACAACCTGGTGAATCGGCTTCGAGAATTTCGTCGATGCCTAGTCACTCTAAATCAACTTTCAAGAAAATTCTTGCTGGTTATGATGCTAAGGAAATTAGAAAAGGTATTGAAACTCTCAAGAAGCGAGTCGAAAAACATTTCGGCGATACAGATGATCCAGGACTCAGTCGAGAACTTGTTATCAAGGTGCACCAACAATGCGAAAGATTGTACGAAAGAGTCGACGATAGAATTTTGACAATCAGCAGAGATGTTTACGATGGAGAGATTATTGCTGAATGGACAAGGGCCGATATTTCTACAGCGTTTAGAAAGTAGGTGTCGTCATGAAGGGATTAAAATTCTTCCATTCTGATTTCATTCAATATAAAATTTCAGTGGATGTAGTATGAGCGCAAACATATGATTAAAATGGGCGTTTCGAGGAGGGTACGGGTAGTCATTACCATGGCCGCAGCAAACCTTGTAATTCTAGGGGATATACCATGAGCTTGAAGAATGAAGAGCAAAAAATAATCAATTTCCATAGCTGGCTACTTTTCTTTTTATCCCTTATCATTTTGAACAACTTGAGCCTGGGCGAGTACAAACAGATCTAAGTTTGATCTCCATCTTTTTTGTCTAGATGCTATTTATGTACTGCTATGATAGCCGAGGATATTAGACGGAAGCTGACGGGTGAACACACCCACTCCGTATTTTTCTCCGGCAGTAACTTGTTTTAGTGATCAGTCTAACAGATGAAGATGAGTAAGCGCTATGATATACGACATATCAGCAATCGTTATTGTTGACAAATTTCCGAGTTTTGTTAGTATTCGTCCGTCAAATCCGACTTAATATTCGCCTCTGCATAGGTTTATCTTACATCTACCCTGCAGGCATATCTTGGGACTTTAATAGTCAGATGAAATTTGGATGTTGTAATACTCCACCCAAAACGGATACTGAAGCATTATCATGGCGCCTGCCACTGACGCCCATCCTCTTCCGAACCTTTCAAATCGTGTGATTAATGAGACGAATCCAATGGGTGTTCTGACTGTAGACGAACCCCAGTCGCCTCAAAACACGTTCGAATTACGGCCTGTAACTCGCCAAAGACGAATCACAATTCTCATCTCAAGCTTTTTGACAATATGTATCACGATTGGTCTCAATCAATCTTATGGTGTGTTTCAGAGTTACTATATCTCTGAAGCCCAAACCATGCTTCCAAAATCTGCTCGTAACGAAGGCGCCTTGGTGGCTTTCGTTGGAACACTCGGGTCTGGACTTACATGGGCGGGTAGCGTTGTGGTAAATCCTATGATGGCAAGACTAGGTATGAAGGGCTCCAAACATATCTGTATGATGGGAGTTGCTTTCATGAGCCTAGGCTTTGGACTGGCTAGTGTCTGTAAAGAAGTTCGAAAATCACAATCCTCTCCCAACTCTAACATTCGCTGATTCGTTTCACTAGGTTTGGCAACTTTTATTGACACAAGGCTTGCTATATGGCATCGGCTCATCGTTTCTTTACTATCCAATTCTCAGCACAGCACCAGAGTATTTTACCACTCATCGTGGCTCAGCTATGGGGTTTATCCTATCTGGTGCGGGGATCGGCGGGCTCGTTTTCTCTCCTTTGATACGCTTTCTTCTGACATCAATTGGACCAAGATGGACGCTTCGTTTACTTTCTCTCCTCGTGCTGATAATCGCATTGCCAATTGCCGCTACTGCAGCTCCATCACGATTCATAGGAAGGAGACAAACTCACGTTGATCTCAAATTGGCCATAAAGCCTGCCTTCATCTTTAGCGTTGGAGCTGGCTTCCTACAAGCGGGAGGCAACGGACTACCGCTCACATTTTTGGCTGAGTACTCCGTGGCTTTGGGCTACACGTCTGCTTTTGGAGCCACGCTGCTAGCTGTTTCGAACGGTATCAACTCTGTTAGTCGAGTTATGACGGGATTCGCTGGCGACAGGTTTGGGAGACAGAATACTCTAATTCTGACAGTCATTTTATGCGTTATATCCGTGTTGGGATTTTGGCTAGGAAGTACTACTGCAAATGGTAACAAAGTATTGTGGTTGCTTTTTGTGGTTTTTTATGGTGTTGCAGGTGGCGGTTATAATGCTCTGTTTCCAACGGTATGTCACTTCTTTCCTACCTTCGTGCATCCCAATCTATCCAATTTGCTTACATATAAACCGGAAGACTGTGGCGGAAGTCTTTGGACTCCAGGCCTACGCTAGCGTGAATGGGTTTATCTATTTTGTTCGAGGCCTAGGAACCATGCTTGGAAGTCCGGTTGGTGGCAAAATTCTGGGGCAGAGCAAGTTGGGAAACTATCGTTCGGTGATCTTGTTTGATGCTGCGCTTTTGTCTGGCGCTACATTCTGCGTTATTGCAGTGCGATTTTTTGATTCTGTGGAAAAGAGATCTTGGAAGTGGATAGCTTAAGTTGTGTATCGTTGCATCATTATATTTTAGCGAAGTTTTACATAGGACATAGATTCTTAGCTTGTCACAACCTCCATATAGCAAGGCATACGGGAACCATTGAGCAACTTTAAATAAGGACTCCTGGTGTCGACCAACTTTAATAGCTCATTGCATTCAACTGCTTGTACGCCGTTGATTGGTGGGACTTTTATATTTCACAGGCTTAGCCAGTCATTCCGCCAAGTTCAGACAACATTTTCTACCGTTTGGAATGGAGACTAAAAATGAGAGCTCGTTGCATATGATACATTCAAACAATTAGGTAATGGTTCATGCGACCGTTTTGAGCAATAGAAGTTCATTACACTCTGCCCAGTTCTTTATTGTCAAATGTTTGCGCAGAAAAAACCTCTTCAACACAGCCTCTTTCCCCGGAAAACAATTCTTAGCATCTGACCCTAGAAAAGCACCAACAAGTACTACGCTCTGATATCATTGCGTGCCAAATCGAAGCGAAGGTCAAGATACTCTTTCCTCATAGGCCAGAAGACGTTTAAAGTTGGTCATTTAATTATCATTCCATGCTCAATGGGCTATTGTAAAGTCACTATCTTCGGCTCTTTCGATACTAGGTAAATTCAATAATATTGACAAGTCGGCGCTTAGAAACCAACAACTCAAGCGCAGTCAATTCTATTGGTGTGTAGCTCAGGATATACCAATATTGAATGCTGGAGAGGTCGGTTCAAGGGTCATGTGGCCTCTAAGGCTGAAGTGTGTAAAGACATCGAAAATTTTGCCTTCCCTTGATTTTGGCCTCGATGAGGTCGTTCAATATTTCCCTTTCGTCGTGGGCCCGAGCTTATATATCTCTGGAGAAATTGTATATCATTCATACGATGCATCGGGTTTTTATTGTCCTTTGTTCATACAAGTTTGTGGACATGCTTTTCACTATATATTATCAAAATCTTATTTGACACATGAATAATGGCTGCAGTGCATGCCCGATCCAAGTTGATGGCTCGTGATCAGTTATTAAATTGTCGTTCCTCTTTGACTGACACAGCATCATCATCCTCAATGGAAAGAAATGAAGTAGAGCAGCCAATTTCTTCTATCAACCTTCCAGTCGGAGTGGAAATTGGTATTGGTCTTATTATCGGCATTGTTACTTGCACGTTAGTGCTTGCCATATTACTACTTTTCAGCTGTATCAGAAGAAATCGAGTTCATCGTCTTACAGCAAAGGACCCACTAGCACTTTTTGTGAATGAGGAAGATAATCCGCGAGCACTTCGTCTATCTTCGACGCAAGACTTCGAGATACATCAAAAGACCCCTGACGAAGAACGCTCGCACGTTACATCGCAACATCGGTGGACCAGCCCCGATGATGTTGCACCTAGATATGAGTCTCGTGAGCAGCAAGAAAGACAGAGTTTCGATGAAATACAACTAGAAAACCGCGAAGAATCTGTTGACAGGCAAAACAGACAGCATGCTAAACCAACTTCACATGTTTACTCAAACGCAGGTGAAGAAACACCCAGCTACTCGTCCCATCATGATTCCTACGGTTCTTGGACAAACTCTCCATCTAGCATATCTCAAGTCCCCAGTTACGAATCATCGTACTCTACCCAACAGCAGCAAGAGCGGCCTGTGCATCCTTCAAACCCAAACTCAAACCCAACATCTAGTCAGAGTCATCATCATCAACAAGAAGTGTACATGCCCCGACAAGAATCAATCAAAATCCAACAGCCCGTGCCATCTTATAGTCCATGGCGAAATCACAGATTACTGAATAGAACCTACTCGGCGGGAAGTGTACAACAAATACCCAGCCGAGACGAATCGCGATCTCAGCTGGAGACGAAACGAGAGGTCGCGCACGTCGCAAATAAAAAAGTCAAGGTAAAGAGAGGAAGTGTTGTAGAAAAGCATTCTGCAACCAATCCAGAGCCTCCCAAAACTAGGAAACACCTCAAAGCTGCACTAAAAAGAAAGACTAAAGATAAAATCCCGTGCGAAAATTCCTTCTTAACAAAGACATCTGCTGAACATGACTCCACGGTCTTAGCCGCGCCAAAATCGAATCAGAAAGCAAGAAATCAAGACCAAAATGGAAAGAGAGGTCAGATACCTCATCCACTCCAATCTCATCCTTACTCCCCAATAGAAAACATCGAGATCTCCAAATCTTACACCAAGGAAAACCTCTACCTTCACCACCCACCGAGCATCCTATGATTCCTGAGCTCGAGGGTTCAGAACAGAAGTTCTTATGACTATCACGGAGCAGATTGTTGCAAGAACTGTGGGGGATAGGAAACGGGTTAGGGTATTGTTGTGAAATTTTCTTTGGTTTCTGTGTCCATTTATGGATTCTGATAGATCGCTTTCATGTTTGCGGGTTGAGGTATGCATGTATCTAGGATAGAAATATAGCTACCGGCATTAACTCTTCTCAATGATTCACATTAAAAGCTTGTATCAAAGCATCTGCGTGAATTCTCATAGATCTCGGATAACCGAAAAGAAGAACGATGTAAATACTAAAAGGGGTATCGAAAAGACAACAAAAGCTACCGCCAACAATCTAAATGATTTTGCTCCTAAGCTCCCCAGAAACGATCGTGAGTTGTAGTTAATATATACATTAAGAATTCTTATGCCCCCTAACCTTTCTTATCGTAATCTTTGTACGTAAAGATATCAAATCATATCGTAACATAACATCGTCCTCATAAATGCATACGTGCATGCATTGGGGATTTTCTTACCACTCTAGCATGTGTCATGACTCGTCCACTACGCTCCTACGCCTCGTCATCCGGCGGCAACTCGCCTCCAACCTTCTTCAGCCATCTTAAAATCCTCCCCCTCACTTCATCCAACTCAGTCCCCAAGCCACTCCTCCAAAGCTCTTCTACGACTTTCACTTTCTCCTTCAAATCATCTGTTAGTCTTCCCTCTTCTTCCCTCTTCACTGCCTCTAACTCTCTTTCAACCTCTTCTTTTCCTTCTCCTTGAGCTACGCGTTGAGTTGCCATTAATCTACAATTTGCTGCCGTTACTCCCACTTTAACTTCGTGTAATAAACAGAGCAAATTCGTCTGACTTTCGATAAACTGATATGTCGATTTACCCGTGTGGACTAAGAGTGTGTACAAATATTGCAATGGAAAATCATAATAGCTTGGATTTTCCTCGTATTCTTCCTTGGGGATTTGTATCATAAAGTCTTCCAAATCTCCATCTTTCGGGATCTGCTCAACCAAACGACTGAGAGAGGGAGCAATATCCCAGAAAGCACCGAGTTGAACTTCCACGCCTCGAACTACGTTTTCTTCGATAATATCCATGAATTCCTCTGTACGCTTGAGAATCTCCGATTCGAATTCCTGCTTGCGTTTTTGAGCATCTTCTGCGAAGAAGGATTCTGCGCCGCGCACTTTTTCGGTATTTTGGGACAAGCGATAAGGAGTTATTATCATTTCTTTGTAACGATCGTTGCGATCCGAGAGTAATTCGTAAACTTCACGGTGGAGCTGCTCACGAGCTTCGAAAATCCATTTGAGAAGGGTCAATTTCTCAATAAGCTCTGGCTGTTCATCACCTTCTTCCTGGGTAGAAGTAGGATTCTGGTTTCTTGAGTCATTAAAGAGTTTACTTCGCAGCTGTTCAAAAAGATCAGTGGCTGATTGAATACGGGTCATGAGTAGTTCGTTGACAGGAAAAACGACTTGAGATTGAAAGAGTTCAAAGATAGATTTGGCGGCTTCCTTTGATTTAAGAAGCTCGCTGGTGACAGAATCTGCTTCATATGCAGCTGCATCAGCGTACGAGATTGTTCCAGCTTCAATATCGCGCTGCATACGAAGACGTAGTGATGCTCGACGTTTAGAGGCAGCGGTATTTTGGTCTTCCCGCATCTGAGCACTATCCCTCAAGTAGCGTTCTTTAGTGGCAGTTACTTCAGTAATGTCGCTCAAGGTACGAACAGTTGTACGGATGCTTGTGAGATCTGGATGGTTATTGTTGACTGCTGGGTGGTGACGGGGATAAGGCGGGGGCAATGTGACCAACCTTGAAACATCAAGGTGCTCTGGGTTTGGTGTGAAGGGCGTTCGTGGAACAAGGGCTGGGGGAACAATTGACTGAAATACGGGAGATACTTGATTCGGTTGGTGGAAGCCAGTTTTCTCCTGTGGATATTCGTTGGGACCTAGATGGGCTGGATTACTCGGCCCACCAAATGTATTCTCCATTGGTGATCCCGAAGATTGGTCTCCTTCACCAAATTGTAGAGCTTCACGCAATTCCTTTGGCATACCCATATACTTTGATTCCCGTTTTGATCTTTCGAATCTTGACGAAGGAGCTCCATCTGATCCATGTTGACTAACTTCCCACCACCTGCTTGAAGGCCTTCCTCTTGAACTTGCACCATCAAGTGCCTCACTAACACTCATGCTTGGGATCGGAGATAAGGAGGGCATATAGCCAGGTTGACTCCACCATTGTGGATTTTGTTGTGTTGGAGCGGGAGATGGCGGACCTGCTGAATTAGCTCTAGATCCAGGTCTTGAATCTGAGCGTGAGGTTGGTCTCGTAGGTGGGCGCGATCCAGATCTCGGCTCTGAATTTTGTAATGGTATATTTTCCTTTACGGCCCCTACTAGCGAGCCCCTATGAGATCTTGGCGCAGCTGACGATGCAGGTGTAAATTCACTTACACGAGACGTCGAAGAGTCTCTACGAGGACTAGTATTAGGGCGAAATAAGTCCCGAGTTAAATCTAGAATCTCGGATCCCATTGCATCTATAGCAGACGCATAACGGTCTCTACGAATTCTAGATTCATTCACAATGAACTCAGCAAAAATGCGTACACGGTCTGTATCATTTGTTGCACTAGCTTCTCTTTGAACAAATATTTCATGTCTCTCTGCCGCAGAGCAGGCGAAATCATCATTTGGGGACATTTGGGACATTTGACTAGCAACAGATTTGCCTGTCGCAGGCTGGGATGCAGTCGAAGCAGCGATGACTGCGGAGTCATTCTTAGGGATGATCAAGGAAGGCGGACGATTATTGGGAGTCTTTTGAACCATTCTTGATTGTGGTGGGGGAGTTGGCAAGGATTTAAAAGGAACTGATGGCGAGTGTTCTATTGCAGATGACCTGATAGACTCAGGAGAGAAAGGCGGAGTAGGCGCCACTGGTCTAGGAGTTGAGCCTCTAGAGCCAGTAGCAGTTCCGCTCATACGATCAGGAGTGGTCAAATTCTGCTGCATGGGTTGGGACGATCTCGGAGTTTCTGAATAATTAGATGATCTTCCGCTCCTCGGAGTTGCCCTGGTTATAGTTTGACGCCGCGCTAGGGGCACAACAATATCACTAGGAGTAATCGCTTCCGCCCAAGGATTATTTGATTGTTCAATAGCCGATTCAGGGTAAGCTGTCCTGCCAGTTCTACTTTCACTTCTTCTTTCACGAATAGTTTTCTCTCCTCTGACTGCTCGTGATCTTGCCAAGCTAGAAGCATTTGAGTCAGAAATAGAATCAGTCGCTGTGCTAGAATTGTTACTCGAGGTGTCGATGTGGAGCGCGGGACTTTCTACGCGGTTTCGGGGGGATGCTGCTGTGGGTGTGTCATCAGGCCAATCTGATGCTGCCGCAGAAGCTTGGGGTGGAGGCGAGAGTGGAGTGGGCGGAACTGGACCTAAAGAAGATGAAGGGGGTGGCCTTCGCGTAGGGGGAGAGGTTACACTTTCGAGCGTACGGGTCATACTTTGGGATCTTGGGGGTGGAGGGGCGCCAGGCGGAGGCGGAGGTAGGGGCATTCCAGGCTGCCATCGAGTAGCAGATGGATCTCGCGAACGCGCCGGGGATGCTGAGCTGATGGCTCCCGTAGATGCAGCTCGACGGGACCCCGGAGGGAGAACATTTATCGGAACAGGTTCTGCAAATTCTTGACGAGTCTGTTCCACAACTCTTCTGGGAATGGGTGGAACTGGTGGTATTGGTTCCCTGTTTGCTGGTGACATTCTGGGATTTTCAGAATGATTAACTTGTCTCCTAGAGAATCCAAAGATGCCATGTGGTCGATCATTCGATCCAGCTCTCGATCGCCCACCAGGTGGAGGAGGATAATTTGGGTGTGGGGTACTTGGGGCCGGAGTATGAGGGGTATGTGGAATATCTGGGGAAGACCGATATGCCTGTGGTGGAGAAGACATAGACTCATCTGACCCTCCTGCCGGTCTATTGCTTCGAGGTGGCGAGTATGGAGGCGGAGCCGGAATCACTACTGCAATTAATTATTAGCTTTTACTACCCCGCGCACACTGTGGATGTAATTCGAAATTTAAGAACAATTTTTGAAATCAAGTACCATCTGGATCGTGAGGTGGCCTGGCAGAATAATGCGAAACATCTGAACCACCGCTGACGCTGGGAGATGAGGTCCATTGTGAAGGGTTGTACTGTCGTACCGAGCTCAGAGGTGTATTGTACTGTGATGGATGATATCCAAATGCTGAGCTCGGATTCCCAGAGATGGTAGATCCTGGAGTCTGATGATGAGGAGGGGTGACTTGAAGAGATGTTGTGATGGGATTTAATTCCAATCTTCTTCGGAAACCATGCTCTCTATGAGGGTTCATTGTCGTGTCTTTTAAGTCTCCCGATTCTAAAAATAGTAACACGACGGTGCTATCGCGACAAACGAGACTTAACCTCCACACTCAAGCACTCAAGCACTCGAGCCAGGCTTTCGTCCTATCTAGACGACTTTGCCTTTGGTCTCATCTGAACATAAAGATGTAAACGAGTCGAGTTGAGTGTGAGGTGAAGCTTTCAAGTTGTGAAAGATATCCCTTTTTTTTCCTACGGGATCGACCACCCTTTAGGTCATGGTGGGATTTTTTGATTCGAAGGGGCGAGATGGCTGTTTTTGAAGCATGGTAGCATGGGCAAAGAAAGATGCTCCCATCCTTACCTTACAACACCACCAACTTCAGGGTTCCAAATATGGCATGGCCCACGATTGGAGTTATCGGAGTTGATGTGCACGATTAATTCTGTCCGCCTTTTTCATATTGAACCAATTAGATGATGATACAGTGACATTTCGACATGGATCTAGTCTGCTAGTCTTCATTTGACATGTTCAGCGCTTACGAGCTCCCCCTCGCTCCCCCAACGATTCATGCGCCAAACCGTATCCGTGCCCTTAAAAGGTTGTATTGACGGCTTCGACAGCGTAGGAAGAAGATTGAAGCTTTTGTTTGATATGTGCATGCACCGTTGAGGGTGAGACATGGTGTGTACCTGAATTAGAATCTGCATATGCGATTTTTGAATACTCAATCATGACAATCCTTCATATGGAGTTCTAAATCGAAATCTTGAGGACATGTGCGTTTCTCGAATAGAGAGTACAGACCAACAATATTAACTGGAATTATCACTTACCTAGTAATTAATTCTTAAGGATTATGGAGAGAAATTTGTTGCATGTGGAGCCCGAGACTAACAAAGTGCTTTCTGTAGGGTAACTAAAAATAGAGTCATCCGATGTCTTATCTTGCTTTTCTCTTTCCCTCTTCACCGATTAAGCATCTCACAATTGCAACAGTTAGCATCTAGAGACTTACGAGGGAGGATAGGTAATATAGGTAATGTAGGTGGTATCTAGGTAGTCATAAGTTGTTGTATTGTGCTTGCTTCGGTATGGAATCGCTACTCTAGCAGTGATATGTCAGCGTGGACATTCTGGACTGATCAATCCATAAGACACATGTGTGAAGATATCTACTGGGTACCTAGCTCGTGGGTGATATATATTGGATGAAAACGTGAATCTGACGTCCTTTGTATTCATAGAAGTGATGTATTGGACAAGGAACTTAGCTTGGGCTTGACAAGTAGGCAAGAGAAAAAGGCTTGTGAAACCTCATCTGGATACCGCGGCGGCACTTTCATCACAGTCAGTACTGTGTATCAAAATCCCACAGTGGATCTCATCAAGTAGACATGCATGTCACTGAGCGACATCACGAAGTGAGCATCATTGTTAGAAGCTCCATTTTTTTTCACATTGCTTATCTGACATGGATGGATTGTCGATCCAAGTTCGACGTAATATCGTACAGTGAACGAGGCAAAATTGAGTCCCAACAACATGTTACCGTTTAAGTTTACATAAAGTAAGTGATGCTATAAGTATCATTTATGTCTAGAAGCTAGCCTACTGAATGAGACATGGAGTTGCGTTACTTCATTGCCGATTCGATCTGTACAGTGAAGCTCATATTTTGCACAAACATCTTCCGGCCCTATCGAAACTGGTATAATCCTGACGTGATAGCTCGTCCTTAGTATGCGCACGAGGCATTGAACAGGAATGACCCTAAAGAGGTACCATATCCCAAAGCGCTGGAGAGCGGGCCCATCGATGGCCTTCCATCTTATTCGCGGTCAAGATTTCGCGTCCTCCATCGATTTACATGAGCGATCTTGTCGTTACAAACGCTTCAACTCTCACTGGACTTTGCCCCCATTCCCATCTTGGCCATACGAAAACTCTTCCGGTAGATCCATTCCCACTCTCCTGGCAGTCAAACGTACTCGCTCTTCTTCATCCATATTCATCCCAGGGTTGTATCTCTCAAGTAATGTGGCATACATCCTTTGCGCCTTGACATATTGTAGGAATTGCTCTGCTTGCTCGATTGGCGTGCCTGTTTCCGAGGCTATGGTCCTGCGAATGCGGGATTGTAGAGGGGAGCGGGATTCTTGGATGAGGGGCCGAGATGGAAGTTCGCGGAGAAACGAACGGTAGAGCGAGCGTAGTTTCGTAGGCGTAATAGAAGACATTTTCGTAGTTGCCCGCGCCGATGAGATTGAGGTTTGAGGAAAGTTGATGAGGAATGTGAAATCACCATCCTGGCACATCTTAGAATTAGAACCGTCGGCACCAAAAATTCCGATATATTTTCAGCCTCGCAGCCTCGTCCATCTGATATAGGTATTTATATTCTCTTGTATTTCAACATCGAATTCCCTACCAATGTCAACGCTTTTGAGGATACAGTCATGTGCTCGTACAAACCGACGAGATGTGATCTCTGCGAGCAATGTTCTCAGAGGACTTAAGACAATATCACAGGGTCATGATTCTCAAATACCCCAATATATGAATTTTCCTTCTACTAAACTCTGCTACCACTGGGACACTTTACCACCCACGGAAGCTCAACTTGTGCACGCAAATGGATTCTTCACCAAAAAGCCTCCCAAGCACTTATGGTCTACATCGCAATTCTATGCCATGGAGTTTGGAGACAGCTCCGAAGTTTGTTTCTTAGGACGATCAAATGTAAGCTTAATCCTCTAGTTATACTATTGGGCTTGTAGCTTGATCTTTCCATCATATTGAATACTATTTGTGGTCCTTAGATATAGGAGACACAAGCTATTGCAATCATAAGTACATACTGACACTGGCATGTTGTAGGTTGGCAAAATCATCTCTTCTCAACGCTCTGATGAACACCAAGGCAGCATATACCAGTTCGAAACCTGGGCGAACTCGGTCTATGAATGCATTTGCGATTGGAGGGCATGAAGGGTCTGAAGATAATAGTGGGCGATTAGTGGTACTGGATATGCCAGGATATGGACACGGTGGTAGACCTGAATGGGGAAAAGAAATCATCAAATATTTGGAGAAGAGGAAACAGCTGAAACGAGCTTTCGTACTAATTGATGCCGAGCACGGAATCAAGGAAAGTGATCGTGTGATGCTGCAAATGTTGCGGGCACAGAAAGTACCCCATCAAGTGGTGTTATCAAAGATTGATAAGATGTTGTTTGCTTCAAACACGAAGAAAATCCCGAGCAGTGATAATTTGAAGAATAGGATGACCCGCCTAGACAAACTCTTGCAAGAGACAAGAGAAATGATCGAGCCGGATCCAGAGTCTGAGGACGCTGATTCTATGACTGGAGAGATACTAACATGCACATCTGAGAAATGTGCTGGAAGGAAATATGGGCATGATGCGGTCAGATTTGCAATGCTAAGGGCTGCGGGTCTACACATCCAACCAAAAATCAAGCTAGCCAAGCAAGTGGATATCATTTCGCACGAAGAACTATTCGAGGGATTGAATACTGCAGACTGAGGATGTACTCGGTGCACATATTTCGAAAATATGGTACCTGATCATGTTGCGGTAGTCTAGAAGGATTTCCGCCTTTCACTGGGGATTGGTGACTGACCACGTTCCAATGGAATACATTGATCTGGTGTCTTATAAGTCCAGTACTTATATAAGCAATCAATCCGTGATGTGCTTGATCTGTGCGAATGCCAACAGTAGAGGATGCTAGGGAGGCAGAACAGGCGAATTGTTTGAAAGATGGAAAGGGGAAGGGTACGGCAACAGTGCTGATCTTGATCGATGCAAGACAATTACCTAGTACTTACAGCAGTTGGTTGATTGGAGAAAACGGGGGTTTGTTAGTCAATACCAAAATAACCCCAAATAAACCAAAACATTCCGAATCTGAAAGCCATTATCTATCTAACAAATGCCCCCAGTGAGTGAAGCCCAATGATAGCTCGTATGTACCTGACATGAATTCTGAATACGTGTCACATGATTTTATTGGACAGATGGTGACTTTTCTGGGCCATGGGGTTGTTCCCGCTAATCGTCATACTGCACCGCTTGCCGGAGGACCTGCAAGTTGCAAGTTGCAACTTTCAACTTTTCTAGCCACTACCTGGAAATTGTCGCAACCTGAACCGACACTACACTACCTATCTACCTGAATTTCATATGCTTAATTTCTACATATCTAATCGTCTCAAACAACCGTTCCAGGAAAAAGACACCTTCAACCTCAAAATCAAAACATCACCCTTTTTAATCAATTCTCACACAGCCAAATATCCATATTCATTCATTCCCTTTGATCAGGAACTGGAAAGTGCGGGGCCAACCGAAGCATAGCCTAGCCTTTACTACTAGGTACATACAGCGCCGGGTCTTCATTCATTAACATCGGAAATTACCATATCAAGCGATTACATTGTGATCACTTACGACGCCATACCTCACAACATCATTCATCATTACGCCGTTGTCGCCCTTCCATACAAACGCGATTCGCGATTGGCTTTCTTAGGTGTCGCATCGTAGCTGGATAGCTACCGAATCTTGGATCGCAATTCAGAAATTACAATTAATTTGGTATTGAACTCAGGAGAGATCAGGTCGCCAACATGTCGAAAGTCGTACGAAGCGTCAAGAACATCACGAAAGGATATAACAATGTGCAAATCAAAGTTCGGAATGGTATGATCTTCTTGCCAAACTTCCGGCTCTTTTATTGATGAATGATAGCTACGAGTAATGACCCATGGGGTCCGGTTGGATCTGACATGGCTGAAATTGCCCAACTAACCTTCAATTCGTGCGTACCTTTATCACTTGCCATTGTGAACAGAACTGACACGAGAATCATAGGGCGGAAACATTTTATCAGATAATGGATATGATCGACAAGCGTTTGAACGACAAGGGCAAAAATTGGAGACACGTTTTGAAGGCCTTGAAAGTGTTAGATTACTGTCTGCACGAAGGTTCCGAGTTGGTAGTGACATGGGCAAGAAAGAACCTCTATATTATCAAGACTTTGAGAGAGTTCCAGTATATTGATGAGGATGGGAGAGATGTTGGCCAAAATGGTTTGCATTTTCATGATGAGACTGAGGAAGCCTGCTAACTATGTTCTTAGTTCGGGTCTCCGCCAAAGAATTAACATCTTTGATCTTAGATGAGGATAGACTTCGAGCTGAGCGCGCTGATCGCAAAAACTGGAAATCTAGAGTCACTGGCCTGGATGAGTTTTCCGAACCTTCAGATGCACAGCCACGACGACAACGACCACACCGAGCGCAGCGCGCCGATGAAGAGGACGCAGAATATAGATTGGCTATCGAGGCTAGTAAATACCAAGAGGAAGAGGATCGCAAGAAGCGCGAGGGTAGGCAAGGGGGCGGTGAACCAGACGACGATGATCTAGCTAAAGCTCTCAAGCTCAGTCAAGAGGAAGAAGAGTTGCGCAGACGTGAATTAGAAGAGCAGAATGCGCATTCGCTCTTTGATGATGATCCAATCCAATTATCGCAAAACACTGGTTTCAATGGAGGGTACCAGCAACAAGGAGCCGTCGATTGGTCAGGAAATCCCATTGATTTGCAAACACAGCCTACGGGATATTTGAATCCCTACACAAATTTCCAAAATACGCAACCTACTGGCTATCAACCTACTGGCTATCAACCTGGATTCTCCATGCAGCAAACGGGCTTTGATCCTTACGCATCACAGCAGCAACAACAACAACCGTTTCAACAACAGCCCACTGGATTTAATCCATATGACCAGTTCTCGCAACAGCAACAGCAGCAACCTCAGCAGCAACAACAACAACACCTAGAGCCAATTGCCCCCGCCGGAACAAACAACCCCTGGGCCACAAACCCGAGCCAACCACTCCAATCCTTACAACCAATGCCTACTGGATCCAACAATCCATTTGCATCATCATTTGCGCGCCCTCAAACCAGTTCCGCTGCATCCAAACCAACCCTCGCTACTCTTCAAGAGCAAAAGACTTTGGGGCAATACAACAATACGTCATCATTCAGCAACACTCCGTCCTTCAGTCCTTCTCCTTCATTCTCGCCACAACCACCCCAAAGAGAAGTATCCGAACATGAAGCTAAGCTCAATGCGCTTCTATCTAGCGGAGATGGAATGGACACTTTTGGAAATACAGGAAACCTTAGAATCCCAGCTCAGCATACTGCACCGGGAACCTTTGTTAACAGTGCGGGTGCTGGCTTAGGACGTATCCACGAACAACAAACTGGCCACAACCCATTCCTCCAAACCCAATTTACCGGTATGCCACAAACCACATATCAAAACAATGCTGCTGGCGCGTTCGGCAGCAGTCCATTTGGTCGACAAGTGCCAGCCGCAACTGGGCCAGCTGGTATGAATGGCGGCGCAAACGGATTTAACCAATCGAGCAATCCATTCGGCCCCAGGCCTCAGCAGGGACAGAACGGACAGGGTGGAGATTTGATACAATTTTAAATGGTAGCTGGGAGGTAGATAAGGAGTGATAAATGGCATTGTTGGAAGAGCGGAAAAGGGAAAGTATAAAGCTTTGCACTTCGATATGGAAATTATTCGGAAGCCTTGGATTGGTTTACGCATGGCCCTTTGCTTTATAGGCGCGAGGTGGCTTTTCTACATTCTTCTATTGTTACCATCCTTCTTTGCAATCAATCTTTTTTTCTTCGAAAGATTTTTGAGTGCATTGTGTGATGAGATAACTTGATATGCAATTTGGGTTCGGTTTGGATGGAAAGAAGAGGATAATGATTTGGGGATATTGCAAGGCTTCAGCTTTAGTAGGACGGTGTAGTTAGAGTAGATTGAGTTATGGAGTGTGAATATGAGTGATAAATTGAAGAGTGCTGTTCGCTGATCTGGTGCAATGCTGAGTGATACCTGATCCCATTCGACGCGACTTCTGGATAAATTCTTCGACTGGCAGGTGTGTGTTTTCAAATTGAGATCACGAATGTCTTTCTCGTGGTGTGGATGTGGTATCCTGGAAATGTACTGTAATTATGCATACCTACTCGCATGAAGGTAATGCAATACCTTGGCCTCTCTGTAACCCAAACCGACGCCTACACTCCTTGCTTTACTCCTTGATATGATTGATGGTATAACGATGTGATATACACGAAAAACTAAAGACAAAAACGTCATACTGTAATCAAAACAGGTCTCTATCTCCTATCCTTCTGCTCCAGTACTTCGAATTGGCCGGGATGATTTTGTTTTCGATGAAACGATGGAACAAATCGGTGGACTGCTTCCAGAGGCTGGGGGAAGGTGGTAATCCAACGGGTGACCCGAGACCTTGATGAGGATGAGATGATATATTGAGTTTGGGGGTTTTCATTCATCCCATACATATTTGAATAAACTCTTCTCTCCCTACTCCGCCTTTACCCTCTAAATCGAATTCCTCTATCATCGCTCGCAGCTCGTCTTCTTCTAATCCCTCGCCTAGTTCGTGCGCTACTCGCCGTAAATCTTCAAGGGTTATCATGCCTTTGTCGTCGGTATCGAATAGAGCAAACGCTCGCAGTATCTCGTCGCGAGGATCGCGCGCCGCTATCAGATTCCCGGCGATGGTCTGGAAGGCTTGGAGAGTGAGTAGCAGACGCCCGGGAGGAATATTTGGATCGCGTATGCCGTTGCGCGCTGCGGTTTCGGGAGGTATGCCGTGCGTGGTTAAGAGAGTGAGGATTTCGGGTTTGGGCAGATCGAAACCGAGGGCTTTGAGGGCGACTTTGAATTCGTGGTAGTCGATTCTCTGGTCCTTGTCGTTGTCGAAGAGAACGAACTGAGGGGTTTGTTAGCGCATTGTTTCGATGTGGGTTGAGGAGGAGGGGTTGATGCGATGCGCGCGACTCGTGATGGGATTGTGTCGTCTTGCGCATGGTGTTTCGTGGGATATGTGTAAACATACAGCTTCATTGATCTCTTCCCTCTGTTCGTCACTTAAAATGTTCATATGAGCATTAGCCGGCGGGGCCATGGCCGGGGCGGGAGCTTGCGCTTGAGTATCCTTCGATAACCTTTCTTTCTGCCTCAAAGCCAGAGCGGGTTGTGATTGAGCAAAAGCTGTTGTGGTGGGAGGATTGCGTATGTTATTGAAAGGACGCGCGGGGAAAGAAGAATGCGGTTGACTTGTTGATGCCATCGAACACTTTTTTATTTATTTAAAACACAGTGCGCGCAAAGTGGGAGCAATTGAGAAAAAAGTGGCTATTAATTGTAAAATAACGTGTATCAAGTAAGTCTGGAGAAGACGGGTCGTTGTTAGTGGCTGGGAAGGAAAGCTATTATTATAATTTTGTCGGACAGGGTGGTGAAGTGGGACGGAGCGATTTGATGTGAGTGATTATGATGGGTTGATTGGGGATTAGAAGTGTAGGGTGCAAGGTGGTGCAAGGTGGTACTACTGTTTCGAAGAATCGACGCGTTAAGCTTTTGGAGAAAATGGCATCTGAACGCGTCGAATGAGTGCTGCACTCGAAAATGGGTGTGATTAGTCATCACAGTCGCATGGAAGTTGGAACTGTGCTTCGTACTAGAGCATCAATTGACGTATCCCTCCCTCTCTAGCTAACAATGAAGATGTAACTGGGTGAACTGGTGGTAGGTATGCCAAGTATGAGATATAAAGGACTAGATAGCTCGAGGTCGGAAACGTGAATGCATGGAGTTGGGGCCGAGTTACTTACTGTAGGGAGAACCATTCCATACCTACTAGGTAGTCATAGTCAAGAGAGAGAAGAGAGAGAGAGAAGAAAGCTTTCACAAGACGAAAGGTAGTACCTACTAGGCAGGTGGGTAGGTATTGAAATCGAACGCTGGTCACGCGCACAGCATCAGGTGATCATTTACATACAATTGTATGGATTGTACGAATTGTATAAACAGGAACCTTGGCTATGAACCTCCAAGTATCAAATCATATCGTAGAATTTCTTCCTCAGGTACAAAGAAGAGTCATATCAAAGAAAGCCCAACATGGATTTCTTATCTGTGGTAGGTGGCTAGCCATACAACTGTCAGATTTACTCATGCGTACCTAGACGAGCTAGAGTCAACTGTATCATAATACCTTCATATCAAGATATCATTAGTCATCCGCTCAAATACCAGCTGTACTACCCAGCACGTACCGTACTCATACCAATAATAACATAATATTTACCCAAGGCAACAGTACCTCTCCAAGGTTTTCTAGATATCTGCTTCATTCACTGGTTCAAATGGCATTTTCATGAATTTAATTGGTTGAATCGGAATTATCTAGGTAAAGGTTCTCAATCTCAAAAGCTCTTCTCATTGACTTTCGAGGCCCATGTTCCCTTCCCTCCCCTAGCCGAACTTTCTTCCAACGACCATTACAATTAAAGCGCGTTCTCCTACAAATTCTCCAATCTATCACCAAAACAATTTCGGACTTTCAAATCCAACTTCAATTCTTCTACCATACATCATCCAAACTCTTTGTTATTGATGATCTTTTTGACACTCTCTTTACAATTTCTAATGCATGCGACACTTTCCCGATCCTAATCGCAATTTCTCCATTTTTGCGCGTTCGCCTTTTCTGCGATTGTGATCAACCTCGTCTCTCCACAAAGAGAGCGACTTTTCAGTTTCGCAATCTGCTACATCTAGCAGCGATTCAGATCCGCTTCGCCTACTGTCGATAATCATTCAAGATGTCGTTCGGGGGAGGAGGATTTGGTAGTAGTGGCTTCGGCCAACAAAATAAACCGGCGGGATTTGCAGGTTTTGGTAGCTCAACTACAAACAACAATACCGGCTCAGGTAGGTCGACCCTTCAATATTTCCTTACATATAATTCGCTGGGCGTCGGGAAGGACTGAGGGGGTTCTGCGATCCCGTTGAACTCATTACTTACTCGAATCGTCTCTTGCAATAGTTTTCGGTGCACCTGCTCCCAATAATACCGGCTTCGGTGCAAATAACAACACAGGTGGTGGTATGTTTGGAGGTGGTGGAACCTCTTCAGGCTTTGGTGGTAATACTGGTGGCAGTACTGGTATGTCGACGCTCCGATGCTCTAACTTTCTGGGTGGTTTTGTTTAGCTTGATAGCTTGTTTTACCTTGGATCGCATTCTTGTCGCATTCGCTCTTGCTCTCGAATCATCCAATTTAAATCAACAGCGAGCTATCTTAACCATGAAACCAAGTTTCTTTCAAACTACACGTTCCAGCAATTTCCTTTTCACTCTTTCACATCTGGATTGATGGTGGGTTACTGACATTCTTCACAGGTTTCGGAGGGTTTGGAGCAAAGCCAGCAACTACTGGATTTGGAAGTACAGCCGCAACAACAGGTGGTAGTATGTTTGGAGGTGGTGCTGCGACGGGAACGACTAGTGCATTTGGCGGTGGTGGATTTGGAAGTAGCGCTGCACCCACAACCGGATTTGGTGCTACCAATACTGGAGGTGGACTGTTTGGAAATAAAACTGGTGGCTTTGGATCTACTCCTGCTACGAGCACACCTTCAGCTTTTGGAGGAGGTTCCGGATTTGGAAGCACTGCAGGAACTGGATTTGGAGGAGCTGCTGCTAGTACCCAGTGTGAAGGCACCCAATCTGTTCCTTTCACAGCATTTGTCGAGAAGGAGCCAAACTCCTCTATGCAGAACGCCTACCAAAGCATATCCTTTCAACAACCTTACAAGAACTTTACACCCGAGGAACTTCGATTGGCCGATTACACCAAGGGTTTGAGATATAATCAAAACCAAGGTGGTGCATTTGGCACAAACACAAACTTCGGCGGATTTGGTAGTTCCAACCAAGCTCCAACTGGAGGTTTCGGTTCTACAAACAACGCCACAACAGGTTCAACCATGTTTGGCGGCGGATCAACAGGAACGGGTTTTGGTACAAGTCAACCAGCTAGCACAGGTTTTGGTTCGAATACCGCTACAGCTGGCGGTGGACTCTTTGGTGCCGCGAAACCCGCGACTGGTGGGCTCTTTGGTGCTCAACCACAAGCACAGACTGGTGGTGGATTATTTGGATCGACTACCAACAATCAGAGTACTGGAGGATTTGGCTCGACAACTGGTGGCTTTGGATCGACCAATAACAACACTGGAGGAGGTCTCTTTGGCAATAACAACAACAACGCCGCTGCCGCAAAACCTGCCTTCAGCTTTGGCAACACGCAACCAGCAGCCACCACCGGAGGCTTTGGCTCAACGGGGGGTGGATTTGGAGCGACCAATACAAATACTGGAGGGGGTCTCTTTGGAAATACTCAACAGCAGCAGAACACAACAACTGGATTTGGTGGCGCCGCTCAGCAACAACCAGCTACAACTAATGCTTTCGGAGGCGGTTTTGGATCTACTAACACCAACACTGGTGGAGGTCTTTTTGGAAATACTCAACAAAAGCCAGCTACCACTGGCCTCTTTGGCGCGCAACCCGCTGCTTCAAATACCGGAGGATTATTTGGTTCGCAGCCAGCAGCTACAAACAACAGTCCTTTTGGTGGTGCAAATAATGCCAACACAGGAAGCAGTCTTTTCGGTGCTAAACCCGCTGCTACAGGCGGTCTCTTCGGCCAGCCTGCAGCTCAAACCAACACTGGCACAAGCAGCTTATTCGGTGGTGGTGGTGGTTTTGGTGCTTCAAATCAAAACAATCAACCCCAGCAAAACACCGGCCTCTTTGGTGCTAGCCTCGGAAACAATGCCAACCAGCAGAAACCTGGCGGATTGTTCGGTCAGTCTCAGCAACAACCAGGGACAAGCTTGTTTGGTAACACTGGGACCCAGCAGCAGTCCAATTTGTTTGGTTCGTCAACACTTGGCCAGCAGCA